AGAGAGAGAGAGAGAGAGAGAGAGAGAGAGAGAGAGAGAGAGAGAGAGAGACAGAGACAGAGACAGAGATAGAGACAGAGACAGAGAGAGAGACACAGAGAGAGAGACACAGAGAGAGTCACAGAGACACAGAGAGAGATCTTAGGAGAGAGAGAGAGAGAGAGAGAGAGAGAGAGAGAGAGAGAGACAGAGACAGAGACAGAGATAGAGACAGAGACAGAGAGAGAGACACAGAGAGAGAGACACAGAGAGAGTCACAGAGACACAGAGAGAGATCTTAGGAGAGAGAGAGAGAGAGAGAGAGAGAGAGAGAGAGAGAGAGACAGAGAGAGAGAGAGAGAGAGACAGAGAGAGACAGAGAGAGACAGAGACAGAGAGAGAGACAGAAAGACACTGAGAGAGAGATCTTAGGAGAGAGAGAGAGAGAGAGAGAGAGAGAGAGAGAGAGAGAGAGAGAGAGAGAGAGAGAGAGAGAAGAGAGAGAGAGATGGAGGGGGGGGGGGGGGGGGACGCATGCCACACCGCTCTATTGTACTTCAGACACTTCAGTGCTGTGGTTGCGAACAAGCTATTAAAATTCATGTATTCAAACAGTAATACATTTTATACGTGTTTATCAACCACACAATGTATATGTTGCTTTACTGGCAAAACTGTGGAGTTTTGCGCCAGTTTTCTCTTTTTTAGGCGACTTTCTAGATCTAGTATATAAAAACAATTATTTCGTTTTGCAGCTCTGTTGGTATTCAGTGTTTTATATTGACTTCCGTAATTTTTGTCTCCCTTGAGCATGCTTTGTTTCTTCGAACTTCGAAGTCGAGAAGCTTCTTCTTCCTTGTTTACACTGACGACTGGTCTTCACCGCACCGACAGCACTTTACGATTAAAAAATAAAATGGCTTCAGAACTTTTAACTTGCTACAATAAAGGCTGTGGACAAAAATTCAAAACTGAGGACAACGCTGAATGTAACTTGTAGATCTAGATCTAGATCTAGATTATATTAGATCTAGATATCTAGGTTGAGGCTGAGGGACCTGTTCTAGATCTTATAATCTCATCTCTAGATCTATTCTAGATTTCTAGATCTAGATCTAGATTCTAGATATCTAGATTCTAGATCTAGATATCTAGATCTACATCTAGATATAGATGTAGATTCTAGATCTAGATCTATATCTAGTAGGTATTAGATTCTAGATCTATGAGCTAATATAGATCTATATCTAAACGAAATCTAAATCTAGATCTATAATCTAGATATCTAGATCTAGAACAGGTCCCTCAACCGTACTTAAACTTAAGTACTTTTATTCTTAATAATAATATGATTGCTACACTGACCATTTACAAAAAATAGGCCTACTGAATTGTAAAATACATTTTTAGTGTGCAGTACCTAAAGTATTTGTATTTGAGACGAAACCAGGTGCCTTAATGACCGTGCATGTATTTTAAACCTTCTGTTTTCTAATGTTAATAGGGCCTAAGATAAGTACGGCTAGACTGGCAGTCTAGCTGTACTTAACTCTTATCCTGCGTCTGTGCCCAGATGCGTATCTTATCAGCAACCGATTACGTCGGACTCGCCGGGCAGGCCGCTGGGGTCACTCAGTGTGTACTGTTGGTGTACAGCGCGCGCGCCGGGAAACGTGTGTTTTCGCCATGAATACCGCGGGAGTGTGTTAACTGATGATGAAAATAACGCTCTATCCTTCATAGCATTCTATTTATAAAGTGTTACAAACACATGAATAACCCCCTCTCACAAGCTGATAAGACATTACGAGTAGTTACGCCCATTTGAATAACCTTTCTGGACGCTCTTGTTGTTATGAATGACCTGAGGTTCGAAAAGGGATAATTTAGGTCAATTTCCGAATGTTTTACACTCAAATTGTTCTTTGTACCTGCACAAGGGTATTCAAAACTATTAAACAAGCTCACCTTTTATCAGGTAGTATCATTTCATACAAAATCAAGCTCATTTGAAATATTTTGTATAGAAAAATGGAAGTCTTGTTTCCTGACTATCCTTTCGAGCTCCTCATGTCTAAGTGGGTCAATTTCTTCTATAATTTCATTGGACGAACATCTAGAGCTATCAACGTGGCATGTTTTGAATGAGACGTATGCCTCGATTACGAACCAACGCAGGTGGTTCTAGAAGAAGGCCACAAACGCACACAAACATAAGCAGACTGACGCACACACACTTGACCTGCGTGAATGGGGATCCGACTCGGGACCCGAATGACACGTAAGAGGATGCGCGCTGCGCGTGCGCTGAGCGTGCGCTGAGCGTGCGCTGAGCCAGGAGCTACACTGACTCGGGACCAGAACGCAGGCGAGGTGCCGAAATAGGCTTATCGGGCTACATAAACCCGGCTCCCGCAGGATGAGGGTTAAGTACGGCTAGACTTCTTGTCTAGCCGTACTTAAGTACGGGTAGACAGCCAGGCT